TTATATTTCTTAGTTTCATCTCATAAACTCACATGCTTCTGTGGTCATACATAAAACTCCCTATCCCCAGGCACCCCAGTAGGATGTAAATGAAATTTGCTGCTTGGTTTCACCAATCATTCCACCATTCATCTCAGCGAAGCGAGTATGCTCGTCTTTTATCATCATTACTTTTGCCATCTGGCTTTTTCTCTAGGAGCTTCAGCAGTAGTTTAGGGGCCTGGTGGGACTCCCTGGGGTCACCTGCCTGTGTTAGGGGCAGGTCAGAGAACTCTGATGCCTGGAGCTGCATTGGTGTTGAAAAAAGTTCCTTTCTGGGGCTGTACATGTTGGAGCAAAAGCATCAGTCTCTGTGTGCCTTTCCACCCCCTCCATATTGATCAAAAAGTTCATTTTAATGGCATTAGTTCTGTTGATTTCAACAGACAGTCTCATGGCTTCAAATGTTGAGGTTTTCTTTTAAATGATGCTTTTCCTTTAAATACTTCTCATGTATTTTTTAGCTGTATGTGTTCATATAAGGTATTTGAAAAGGTGTTGCTGAGCACCTTTTCGTCAGCGTGGTTGTAGACTGAGCAATATGTAGATTTTTGAATTGGCTGCCACGAAGAACTGGTGTGATGGAAGATGAAGAAGGAAGAGGAAATATTGAGCAACACCTTGTTTAGGTGCAATGCTGATGAGACAGCCTAGTCTGTAGATTTGGATCAACAACATATGCTTGATTTGGGGAAAACAGCAAAGTGGAGAGGACGCAAGAAAATGGAACACTTAAACTAGGACTTTATTAGGCAGGGGGAAGAGAAGAATTTATTCCTACCTACCAGTAAGGCAAAGTACCCAGTTTTCAGTTTTAAGCAGGCATCTTAGTTGCCCCAGTGTCTCTGGAAATTACTGGAATCTGGGTACTCAAAAGTGTATTTGAATTCTCTATGGGGAGCGAAGGTTAGGAGGTAGATGGTTTTAACTGAAAAATGCCCTGTTTTAGGTATTTTGTGTTTATAAATCTAATGCAAGAAATGACACTCAGCATCAGCATACGGAGACATTTCTGCCCGAGACCAGTAAGAGACTTTTAGGCTATTTTTTTTTTTGTGACAAAAATATTTTTGTCTGTTTGCTATTGGTATTTTCCTGTTATAACAATGTATAAGGTCAGGAACATCCATATATGTTTTTTCATATGATTCCATGATACGCATGACAGGAATCTTCCAAAGAAGAAATTAGGTAAAATATTAAGGAAGAAAAAAGATATTTTCCTTAGACTCTCAAGTGCCTGTATGTAATTCGTGTAAGAGCAGTGGCTCAAAATGAGAACTTTCTATCTTTTCGTGGTTGACTCCAATAACCTGAGCGAGTACAACATCGTGATTTGTGTGTGTATATAACCACTATATTTTTACGTGGAGCAGAATTTTTTTTTAGAGTTCAAAAACTTGCTCTTGATGAAGTGCCACCCTGATGCCTAGTAGTTTGAAGGCTGATAAGAATAAAGCTGTGTGAGCAAGACAGCGTTGTTTGTGAAGTGAAAAACGTGGTGAAGTGGGCTTTGATTTTTGTCAGTGAGTTTTTCTACCGAAGTATATTGTTGTAGCTGACAAAAGATTGAGAGGATAAGCTGGGGGTGGTTGGTTGATCTGTATCTATAAATTTAACATGACGTTAAGCCTATCTCAGGTGACATTCTGTTTCCCAGCAACTTTAATTTAATTTGAGAGACTGAGTGGGTTTTTTTCTTCCCTGAAGGTTATATTTTGTATTCCACAGTGATTTCAAAGGGATAGTTTGAAAGCTGCTATAAAAATGCAGGGGTCGAAGTGATGATCTCAACATTAAAGCAGCAGAATTACAGCCTGGAAGAGAAGCTGACACTTTGAGAAGTGCTGGTCTTATTATCTTTTTTTTTTTTTGGTAAAATTTCCTAAGTTAGTATCTCTTCCTGAAATTTTGGGTCTGACCATGCAGCTTCTGTGTCGGTCCAAACCCTTTCTGTCACTTAATGCGAATGGTCAGTGTAAGGAGCAAATACCATCTCCGATGGCTGGATCCTTCCAGCCTGTTTTTCCTGAATGGCTTTAGTGATGTGCTGTCACTGATATCAACCATTCTCTATTGCCATCTAGAAAACAATGCCAGAAGTCCTTTAGATCCCTCCTAGTTCTGTTGTATTAATTTCTAGGAGCCCCATCTGGAGCACTGTGTCCAGTTTTGGGCTCCCTGGTTCAAGAAAGATGAGGAGCTGATGGAGAGAGTCCAGCGGAGGGCTATGAGTATGATGAGGGGACTGGAGCATCTCTCCTGCGAGGAGAGGCTGAGGGAGCTGGGCTTGTTCAGCCTGGAGAAGAGAAGGCTGAGAGGGGACCTTCGAAATGCCTCTAAATATCTGCAGGGTGGGTGTCAGGAGGACGGGGCCAGACTCTTTCCAGTGGTGCCCAGCGACAGGACAAGGGGCAACGGGCACAAACTGAAGCAGAGGAAGCTCCAGATGAACATGAGGAAGAACTTCTTCCCTCTGAGGGTGACGGAGCCCTGGCCCAGGCTGCCCAGGGAGGTTGTGGAGTCCCCTTCTCTGGAGATATTCCAGACTCGCCTGGACGTGGTCCTGTGCAGCCTGCTCTGGGTGACCCTGCTTCGGCAGGGGGTTGGACTAGATGACCCACAGAGGTCCCTTCCAGCCCCTAACCTTCTGTGTGATTCTGTGAAATATTGGGGGACAATTCATTTGTGAGCGTTTGTCTATGCTTTGTGAAGCCCTCACATAGTTAAAAATTACAGGTGTACAATAAGGGAGAATGAATTCACAGTCTCAGTTGCCTTACTCAGATCTGCCCAGAGATAAACACTCTAGTTGGTTTTTCATAGTGTTTCTTAAAACCTGGAAAAGGAAATGCTGCTTTCTGAAGCGTATTTAATTTATCAAATGTCTTCTGGTCTGTTCAGAGTTAAGCGTTTTGGGAATTTCAGTAACTCCAAACGTTTTCCCTCATTTCCTTTGCTGTAATTAGCTGTTAGCCTTTTGGTCTGTATCATACGCAAAGAACAAAATCGCCACTGCTCTTCAATGACTTTTTTCCTGGAATAGCAATTTTCAGTGGCTTGGCAATGTCAGATAGAATTTCGTAGCTTGAAGTGAGTAATCGGTGAAGAACTCTCTGGGTTTTGGTTTGCCTTTCTTCGGCAAACCATAAATATCACAGATACATAGCCAATCAGGAAAGCATCTAGCAATTACTTTAATATATTGTTAATGACCTTTTAGTTGGATGGTTTAACTGGATTTGCAGTTTGGTTTCCATCCTCTTTTGAAGATGAAGAGTGTGGTGTAATAGGCGAGCGAAAAAGTCCTGCAGTCCTTGTAATTGGGACAACGTGGACTTGTGGAGAAGCAATGTTGCCGCGTCGGGTGGCGTGCGCCTGGCAGGAGGATGCAGAGGGTGTTTCACCCTTCCTCTTCGCCACGTGTAAGTCAGTTGGGGTCCTTTTACTTCAAACCCGATATATCCAAAGCGATGGCCTTATCTGAATGCGTCAAATCAATTTTTACTCATTCTCCCCCCAGTACTCTCTCCTCCCTCCCCTGTCCCCCCTCCCTCGACTGAGATGTGTCTCCCAGAGGTGGTTACGTAGGGCTGTTTGAGACCGAAGGAGGTACGTGGTGGTTTAGAGCCATGACAGTGCAAGAATGCCGGTCTGTGTTACACCGCTGTGCCTCGGTCCCCTGGTTTATTTGATAATCTTTGGAGAGCACCGAAAGATACGCTCATCTACAACGTCATACATAACATTTATGGAGTTCTTTCTGTTCTCATTGACATACAAATACGAGTCTGATGATAAGACTGATCTACTTGGTACACCAAATAAATGCTAATAGCTATATTCTCTGTTGTCCTGGAAGTAGTACAAGTACTGACTGCAGTTTCTGTAATTTCTTTTCGCAACAGAATGCAGTAAGTATGTCTTGTGTGCAGTGCTGGTTTGGACGCATGCCAAATTTTAACTTTCTGACCTGGAGCTATGCAAGTTTTGCGATCTCTGATTGATAATTGCGGTTGGTGTGAGGGGCGGAGAAGGCTCGGTGATCAGCTGTGATTTTGCTTTACCTGAAACTAAAATAATGAAAGTAATCTGTGCTGCCTCGATATTTTTCTAATCTGCTTGCGTGTTCTTAATCTCATTTTAGCAATCAGATCCTTAATCTAAGCATTTAAATGCTTGCAGTTGCCCTTAGTCATAAAAATTCTATTACCGTCACTTGAGCTTCACCGGTATGGTGCAGCAGATGTATTTGATAGTGTAAAAAGGCATAGTGGTTTATTCTGCAAATTTTCAGCCTTACAACATAACCATAATGTTCTCCTGCCGGGGTCTGTGCCGTGCCCCCGTCCCCTCTGCAACGGGTCACGCGCGTGCTTTCCCCCTGGCCCGCCTTCATGCAAGTCAGCCTTTTAAAGGATTTTTGGCTGATAAAGTTCTCTTAATTCCCATCCTTTCGGGGCAGTTATACAAGCAGTTTGTTGGCAAGGAGGAGGTGGGTTGACCTCTGGAGCCAATAATCTCTTAACCCAGGCTCTGCTGCAGCCAGCATAGCAGCTTGGCCCTCGATCTGTCGTGAAACAGGATACTTTATTGCCCACCGAGTGATCCTGCTTGGAAAAGAGCTAATGCTGCCTTGGTGATTTCCTTGATCAGAACCTGCAGGAGCCTGCATTTCGCACGTGGGGACAGATCAGGGCAGGTGAAGCTTTTGTTGTTGATTCCCTGACGCCGCAGGGCTCCTGATGACTTGCCCCGAGGAGTCGTTACAGATTATGAACCTACAGAGTTTTGGCCCCTCCCAATGGAGGAAGCCTCAGGGGAAGGATTTGGTCTAAAATCTCCAAACTAATCTCACCCCCAATAAAATATTGCTCAAACCATCACGTTGCAAAGCTGGAAGGAGTAGTTAATAGAGGGCGTTTACACAACAGCAAACGCAAACCTGTTTTGTCTGACAGGACAACAGCTTTGAGCAATTCATCATCAACTACTGCAATGAGAAGTTGCAACAGATCTTCATCGAACTGACCCTCAAAGAAGAGCAGGAGGAATACATCCGAGAGGTAATACCTGAGCGGATCTTTCCTTGCCCTCTCCTCTTCCCGTTGTCCCTGCGATGGAGACACACAGGTGTGCATGCGGGACCCTCTTCTCAGGGAACAGAGTCACCTTTTGGCTGCAGGCTTGTGTAGGATTGCCTGGTAGTTGCATCAATCAAAAATGTCTGCTTTGGTTTTGGAGATATTCAAGACCTGCCTGGACAAGGTCCTGTGCAGCCTGCTCTGGGTGACCATGCTTTGGCAGGGGGGCTGGACCAGATGACCCACAGAGGTCCCTTCCAACCCCTACCATTCTGTGATTCACTTTATGAGTTCTCCAGGTGTACACCAGACCCAACTATCATTCATTGGCAAAAATGATTGGCAGCTCTGAGCAAATTTTTAAATTTTTTATTAATTCTAATTAATTTATTAGCAGACTAATACTGCTTCCTGGTGTTGGTGCCGTTACCCTACAGCCTGTGTTTTGGATGACACAGTAGAGTCTGGGATACGCCACAGCTAGTCCCGTTTCAAACGGGAGATGGCTGGGTAAAAAGGCAGCAGGCAAGGTGGGAGAAAGTACAAATAGATTTTTGGTTCGAGTTTTCTTCCAGCTAAGTATTGAAGGGAGCTGTGTGAGCTTTATTGGGTAGATTTAAGACGTGCTTCGGAGCCCAGACTCTGATGTTATTCTGTGAGTGAACACCAAATTAAAGTTCTAATAGGTTTTAGCAGCACACCCTGTGATTTACAAAGCTCAGACAAAAATGCCAGCTCGCAGCTGTAGAAACTGGCAGACGCTCTCTGTGCTGGAGTTGGATGATACCATTTTGCTGTATAAACGTTTTAAAAAATTAAATAAAGTTCCTGCCTTGTAATCCTGAGGATAATATGAAGTCTGGGCATGTCCTTTTTTCTTTTTGCATTTAGTGGTGAAACTCCTGGAACATCATTACCGCAATTTGGTTCTTGAATGATATTTCAAATGCTCTGAAAAAACGGAACTGTAAGGAGTACTGCAGAATGCAAACTAAGAACGAAATTAATGTTTGCTTTTTCCAGTCCTTTGCCTTACCAGTGTTACCTCCTGATGCACTGGCATCTCATCCTGGAAATTTTATCACTGATATTTGAAAAAAATTAGGATATTAGGAATATCTGAACAACAGCCAGACTCCGGATTTTTCAGATGGCCCCATCTAAATTTAGCTCTCTTTCTTCCTCCTGTTAAAAAAACAACCCCAACAACTAAGAGCTTAGAAATTCTGATCTGGGATGCTGGCAGCATGGAGAACAAGCCGGGGAGCGCGGCAGGAGGAGCCTGGCCGGGCGCCGGGGGAGTGTGTAATCCTGAGGATAATATGAAGTCTGGGCATGTCCTTTTTTCTTTTTGCATTTAGTGGTGAAACTCCTGGAACATCATTACCGCAATTTGGTTCTTGAATGATATTTCAAATGCTCTGAAAAAACGGAACTGTAAGGAGTACTGCAGAATGCAAACTAAGAACGAAATTAATGTTTGCTTTTTCCAGTCCTTTGCCTTACCAGTGTTACCTCCTGATGCACTGGCATCTCATCCTGGAAATTTTATCACTGATATTTGAAAAAAATTAGGATATTAGGAATATCTGAACAACAGCCAGACTCCGGATTTTTCAGATGGCCCCATCTAAATTTAGCTCTCTTTCTTCCTCCTGTTAAAAAAACAACCCCAACAACTAAGAGCTTAGAAATTCTGATCTGGGATGCTTGCAGCATGGAGAACAAGCCGGGGAGCGCGGCAGGAGGAGCCTGGCCGGGCGCCGGGGGAGTGCGTGGGAAGCTGACACGGGCGGGGGAAAGGAATGGCGAGCGGGTTGGGCAGCCCCTCGGGGACGCGCGGTTTGCACAGATAATGTTAGCAGTAGATGATTGCGTTTCTTTCTTAATAAATAAAATGTTGGTAAGCGTATAGGACTGAATTCCAAAGTAGCATCTTAGTTAACGGGAATATAATCTAAGTGGCCTAGAGGAAAAGCTCCCCCGATTGTTTTCCTGTTCGTATGTTATTATTTTTTTCTTACAGGGGATTGAATGGACCCACATTGAGTATTTCAACAATGCTATAATTTGTGACCTAATAGAAAATGTAAGTTATACTCAAGAATCTCTCTGAATGATTTTTTTTTTTTTTTTTTAATGCATGGATTTAATTTGGCTCTAAAATCTATATGCATCCTCACGCACTTTGGTTTTATAAAACAAGCCACTCACTGTGTTAGTCATCTTACTTCGTATGGTAAAAATTTGTTTTATTCATTTTTTATAAGGCTAGATATTACTTTGTTAGAAATGTTCAGCAGCACCTGCACCAAAAAACCCAACTCTGTTTTCAACAGCAGATGTCACGTGCTTTGTTGTAAATACCATTTCTTTTTATATGGAAACTGGAAAACTCAACAACTTGTTACCGAGTGCTTTAGATACAGCAAGTACTTGTATCTAATAAGAGGACTTCTTAGGGACGTGGTGCGGCAAGAATGACAGAATTCCTCAACAATCAGAAAAGAGCAGTTTTTAACCATTAGTATGAAACGTATGCTGGTTTGACCCATAAACTGGGTACTTGCAGTTAAGCTGGAATTCCTACAGTCTGACGGGAAATTCCCAGGTAAAAAGTGGTTGGAAGGTTCAGCTTTCAGAAGCAGTCTTTCAGAAACGCAGGTGCTAAAAATCTGTTGGCAGTGGGGGTGAGGACAAGAGAATTGGCCAGACTTGGAGATGGCTTGAAGGACGTGTTTCTGGGTAGCAGAAGTCAAACAGGAGAGAGTGGTCTCCTTTTTATGCATTGATGTAAATGTGATGGAAACAGAGACTAGAGCTCTTGTCTTGAAACTCCAGAACCAAACTGGAATCCTGGCCATGCTCGACGAAGAATGCCTGAGACCGGGAACCGTCACTGACGACACCTTTTTAGAAAAACTGAACCAAGTCTGTGCTACCCACCAGCATTTTGAGAGCAGGATGAGCAAGTGCTCCCGGTTCCTCAACGACACCTCCTTGCCTCACAGCTGCTTCAGGATCCAGCATTACGCTGGCAAGGTACGGGGCGAAGCCGGGGAGCGCGTGGAAGGCGGTGTACCTGCGTGAAGTCGGGGTTTGGTACGATGGGGAGGCTCTTTGTCCGTTAAACGATGTTGCAGCAGTGGAGGAGAATTGCTTGAGTCAATAGTTGACCAAAAAATCCAGACCTGCCTTCATCTTTTCCATTTTAAGTCTAAGATTCGAGATTTGGGCCAGAGGGTTTTCAGAGATGGTGCTGCTGTAGCTGAAATCAAGGGCAGCTCTCCTTGCAGCAGAGCAGAAAGATGTCCCAGGTGCTTTGCTGGGGAACTCTTGTGCTGCCACGTCTCAGGCAAGAAAATGCCATCTCGAATGACAAAAATTCACACGCAGCTGAAGGCAAGATCTTTTGGAAAACATGTTCTTTGTCACTGAGCTAGGGGAAGTCCTCGGTCCCGCTGATGAGAAAGTGGAGGTTTTGGTACATGTGAAGGTACCGAGTTTATTTTGACAGCCTGCGTGTTTGAATGGATGGAGGAGAATGCTACGCAGGGGGCTTGCAAAGGGGCTTGCTTTTCACAGTGTAAGCAGTGTGAATGAATACAAGTCTGACAGGTTTTGATGCATAATTCAGTATGACTTTTTATTAATGAAAAATCAAAATCATTAAATTTGTAAAAGAAGACCACGTATTTAAAAAAAAAAAGTTTAAAAGTAAGCATAGGGGTTGAAACTATGCTTCTTGTTTGAATCTGCTGAACTGCTAATTTCACAGAGGAAATAATATTTGGGAAGCGTTTCATTTTCCTAGAACTGTTTAATACCTCCCTAGGTTTTAACGTTTTCTCAGTCTTAGAATTTTGCACACCTCGATAATTTGCTCTTTCAGAATAGTGCTGGAAATGTCCTACTTCCAGCCTTTGAGGCAGCCATTCGTTAACTTTGTGTTACGTGTTTGCTAAGAAGATTTTGTAATTGCATATCATCTATCGGGGATTAATGCTTAGGTACTTCTTTGGCTGTCAAAATTCAAAGTGAATTGAGAGTAGTGCTTTGAAAAGGACTGCAAACAGATTGTGTCTGAGCAGCCGGCGAGGGTCTTCGGCTGTTACTGGCATTCGCTTACCCCACAGAGCAGGCAGTGAATTCCCCCTATTTTCAAGGAATGTTGTTTTTCCATCCTCAGCTGAGAACATTTTGATCTAATCACTGGAAAACAAAAGTTTGACTCTCCTTTTATGAAACAGAAGCAAAGTTCAGGTGAACAGCTTTTGCAGTAATGGCATTTACCACACCTGTCAGAAACAGAAACCTGTACTCCAAAGAAAAATGTCACCTGAGCTGCCAGCCACTTGCTGTTGTGTAAAATATGGTTATGTCAGCGTTGGTTTTGCTCAATATTCTGTGTACATAGTACGTAGCGACACAGAACTGTGAACTCGTGAAGCTGAAGAATCTGTGTTACCAGCCAGATGACGTAAAGTTCTCCTGGCCACCTCCTGGCTCTCCAGCCGTAGGTCAGGGCACTGCCTTCATGTGTGTTGTCATTGCACTGTTTTCCTGGTTAATGCCCTTTAAAATAACAGTCTGCTGAGGACCGCGTGCTGCTGCGCTGTCACGAGGGGACATTTCGTCTCTTGTTCTCGTTAGGCAGATCAGGTAAGCATTAGTACTTGGAAGGCAAAGGGTATTCTTGCTGTTGTGATTCGAAAGAGAGGGAGGAAACCTTTCGTCAGCCAAAAAAGAAGATTGTTTGGGGGTATTGGCAAGCGGTGGTGTATCAGGGTTATCACGGGAGAAGGGTTTTTTCCATTTTGGAAACCAGAACTGATCAGCCCGAGCAACTGTTAGCAGCGTGAGGAAACGCACCTTGTCAGGAAGCGTGTTCCTGGAAATCTTATCCAACAAGATCAGCCTGAAGAAGAGAAGGCTGCGAGGGGACCTAATATATACTTACAAATATCTGCAGGGTGGGTGTCAGGAGGATGGGGCCAAGCTCTTTTCAGTAGTGCCCAGCGACAGGACAAGGGGCAACGGGAACAAACTGAAGCAGAGGAAGTTCTGTCTGAACATGAGGAAGAACTTCTTCCCTCTGAGGGTGACGGAGCCCCGGCACAGGCTGCCCAGGGAGGTTGTGGAGTCTCCTTCTCTGGAGATATTCAAGACCCTCCTGGACAAGGTCCTCTGCAGCCTGCTGTAGGCGACCCTGCTTGGGCAGGGGGTTGGACTGGGTCACCCACAGAGGTCCCTTCCAACCCCGACCATTCTGTGATTCTGTGAAAAGTCTTCTAAGTGGCAAAGTTAAAATGAAAGCTGGGATGTCTTTGTTTTGGATGGTGATAAAGGAGGAGAAATAAATTTCTTGGTTCAGTTTAGAAGGGACCTATGTTGTAGTTCAAAACATGCTCTGATGAGAGTCTTCTGTATTGCTCAGGTTATGTACCAGGTGGAAGGATTTGTTGACAAAAATAACGATCTTCTATACCGGGACCTCTCCCAGGCCATGTGGAAGGCCAGTCACTCTCTTATCAAGGCGTTGTTCCCCGAAGGTAACCCTGCTAAGATCAATCTGAAGAGGCCGCCAACAGCGGGTTCACAGTTCAAGGCTTCGGTGGCTACCCTGATGAAAAATCTTCAGACCAAAAATCCAAACTACATCAGGTAAATTACCTGGATGTTTGATAGGAAAGCTCTCCTGAGGACTGTACTTTCCCACTAATATGAAAAAAAAAAAAAAAGAATAAAAAAAAAAAGCAAACCCAAACCCAAAATCCATGGTCTCCAAGGAATAATCTGTTGAAATCTATGGTTTAAACTCAAAATAACAGTTGTTGACACGTACGGTACCGCAAACAAGTGTCCCTGTTCGCTTCCCTTTCCAGATGCATCAAGCCCAATGACAAAAAGGCTGCCCACGTTTTCAATGACGCCCTGGTGTGCCACCAGATCCGCTACCTCGGTCTTCTGGAGAACGTCCGGGTCAGGCGGGCAGGTTACGCCTTCAGGCAGGCGTACGATCCGTGCCTGGAAAGGTACAAAATGCTGTGCAAGCAGACGTGGCCCCACTGGAGAGGGCCAGCCAGGTAGGAGAACAGCGGTATTCTTACCTGTCCTGTTCCAACGACTGAAATTACTATCTTCCACATGTTCTGATTTTTTTTTTTTTAATTAGTGAACTTTTAAGTACTTTAAAAGTAAATTAAAAACTAAGCCAGTGTGGCTCAAGTGTTTTACTTGTATGTTGTTCCTTAGCATCTTGTTCCAGATTTTGGATGAGCTCATTCACTGGGAAACCTGTACTTTTCAGTAGGCTGAAAATTACAGTTCCTTGGCAGAGGAGATGATTTTGGTGATGAACTACATGTGAGGAAGGAGAGCACATTGTTTTAAGAATGCTTTCCAGTCTTTATTCATTTGGGCCTGAAATCAAGGGGGGGTGGAGAGAGAAACAGATCCTGGAGTGGAATCAAAAAGGCGAGGAGGTCTGGAATGATCAGAAGGACGTTTATCTGTAATCACCAACTTTCAAAGTGTAGGAACGCCCGTTTCTCTGAAGACAGTCACGCAATCTTCCTCTGTCCTTTCAAGAATAATTTTACATAATGATTGGTGAACAATGATAATACCTCTTGCAAATCAATTCTATTAAATATGTAATTTTACATTGCATAGTATTCACATGTATTTTTACAGACGACGTCTTGGGTAGTCAAATGAGCTTCTCTTAATTCTTTTTACACCTGGCCACCGGTAGCATGCTTTAAATTTCTTTCATCATAGATTAGTATCTTCAGCTACAATTTAAACCTTTAGGTTATCAGGGTTTTTTTGAGCGGTGTTGGTAACAATAGCACCCTGACAGTCCTCACAAAGTTCTGTGCGATTCCTCTCCTTTTTCTGTTGACATTTATAAAACGCAGTTGGTAGAGTGGAACATCAGCATTTGTCAAACTCGCCAGTCTTTGTTTCACGTTGTGACGTTAGTGCGAGAGCCCTTCCTTTTTTCTTTCTCTTTTTTTTAGTAAAATCATTATAGATGTAAGAGGAAAAAATAGGTCGTTGCTGATGATGTTAAATAAAAATTGCTCTTTTTTCATCAACTTATTCTGGGTCTTTACAATGATTATTCTTGCCTTTAGCTAAATAACCAGTGAGTAAAGGAGTTAGGCTTTCAATCTTCTTATGTCAAGCACTATTTAAGAATTGAAAATATGCTTTCATATGCTTTCCATCAATTAATCTGTGAACATGTAAACTAAGAAGTTTTAGAGCTGGGGGTCATGTTTGCTAAGCTCGTTTACTTCCTGTTTAGGGCTGGAGTAGAGGTACTGTTTAATGAGTTGGAAATCCCTGAAGAAGAGTTTTCATTCGGTAGATCAAAGATATTCATCCGCAACCCAAGAACGGTAAGCGAAAAATGTCTTCCCCTGCAAAATCAAGCCAACTTTCATGAGGACAGCCTGTTAGGAACTGCATAATTCACTAGCTGGTTGCTACGGATTTTTCTAGATACAGTGCTGTGATATATTGCTGTGGAATATAGCATTAAAAAGGGGACTTTTTAATGTTAGACCCATTAAAATCAGTGTGAATCATGACTCTACAATAGCTGTCACCCTGAATTTAATGGAACTTTCGTGCACTGACTGGTGGCAACGTATCTGCCACAAACCCTGTGGATGTGTCTGCCTACAGCTCTGAAGATGAATAAACCTAAAGGTGTTTGAAGAGGCACTTGAATAGAGGGGAGATTTCTCTTACAATAGCTCTGCTTACGGGTTTTTTTGTCTTTTCTCCCCTGCTGTTTTTCTTCGGATGTCAAACACAACCCTAAAAAAACCCCCACACCCAGCTCTTCAAACTGGAAGATCTGAGAAAGCAGCGGTTGGAGGACTTGGCTACTCTGATTGAGAAGATTTATAGAGGCTGGAAGTGCCGCACACGCTTCTTGTTAATGAAGAAAAGCCAGATTGTGATTGCTTCCTGGTACAGGAGATACGCGGTAGGAGAATACCCTTACTAAATGAGGGGTTCTTTTTATTGTTTAATACGTTTTTTCATATAACCTTGATATGATATTTCATGTAAACCTCATACGATAGGTTTCCTTGATATAGAATCATAGAATCATAGAAAGTTTTGGGTCGGAAGGGATCCATAGAGGTCATCTAGTCCAACCCCCCCGCAGCGAGCAGGGACACCACTAACTAGATCAGGGTGCTCAGAGCCCTGTCCAACCTGGTCTTGAATGTTTCCAGGGATGGGGCATCGACCACCTCTCTGGGCAACCAGTTCCAGTGTTTCACAACCCTCATTGTAAAGAATTTCTTCCTTATATCCAGCCTAAACCTACCCTGTTTTAGTTTAAAACCATTACCCCTCGTCCTGTCACTGCTGTCCCTACTAAAAAGATTGTCCCCATCTTTCCTATAGGCTCCTATGTATGGAGAATTGTTGAAAGAACTCAATTTTAAGTTAGTACAGAAGTACCAAAAATGTGAATAACAGAAAAGTTCGTTTTTAGAGGCCACTATTAAGTATTTACTTTGTGCTTGTGCTTAAATAATTAAAAAGCTCACCAGAGTCCTTTAGCTCTGCAAGAGCAGCATTTTGTGGCCCAGCTGGGAAGAGCCTTTTTCATTCAGCTAAAATGCTGTGCTGCCTGGCACTTAGTGCTCTCACAACATACCGTTAACGTGTTTTTAAAAAGAAAAAAGTTTGGTAATACACATGTGTCGTTCTGTGGAATTCAGTCATTCCTACGGCTTTTTGTATATTTGCCTTATTTGGAACCTTTGCATTTGAGGCTCAAGAATGCTGCTTGGGAGGATCCCAGGGGCTTATTTTAATTCTAGCTCGTAAGACTCGTAGTTCAGTAGTTGTTATTGATGCAGTTCTAAACCAGTTTCCAGTCTGTTTGTAGAGTGGGTATTCTGTGTTATGAACTGAACAGTGCTGTTATCTGTCTCTTTCGTGTCTTTTCGTCAGTTAGTAAATAACATTGACTTATATGATAAAGATTTACTGGTTTTAAGTTCTAAAACCATTCTTAAACATCTCAGCTGCATTTTAGTCTTGTGTGCATATCAGAAAGCTTGATAAAATATATGATATGGAAAGAAGACATCTTCTTAAACTACAGGCTGCAGAATTATCAAGCACTGTTTTTCAATTGACCAGCACTTGTTTATCACCTTGAAAGCCGTTAAGTGTTTGGTTCGGTTACCTTGGATAATTAGAGAGAAGTACAGAGCATTTCGAAAAAGCAGGAATAAATGCTTTTTCACTGTAAAAACTCTCCTCTCTGAACTTCTGTGATTGGCTGCACCGTTTCTACAAACAGCGTCGTTACAGAACGGCATTGTGCCCGTATGGCTTCTTGATGATCTCACACAACCTTAATGAATGAAAAGTGGAGTTACCGCAGCCAGATTGGCACAACTTGTGATAGAAAGAAATAAAAACAAATATAACTGTGGACCTTTACTGGTTCACTGGTGACACATGGCAGCAGTTGCCTCTGAATGCAGGATGAAATCGTAGCAAGCCCCTCAGAATTACTTATGGGTGACATCAGCGATTTTTCCTCAGGCTCTCCACGTAGACGGAGGGCACCGTTCTCCTAACCTAACGTGACTGTTGGGCACTGTGGTTTGGAAGGTTGCATAAGGAATCCCTTGCATGAGCAAAGCTTTTTGACAACTCCTCGTGCTGGAGGCTGGGCTGAAGGATCTGCAGAGACTTGCCTGCGCCCTTGCAAGGCGTAACGGATGTCAGCCATGGCATGAACGTGGCCTAGAGGGGATTCTCCCTAGCTTGCTCCCAGAGATGGGCACTGTAATTCAGTGGGCTGAGGGTGAAGTCTCAATGCCTCCTTGCAAAGTCCATCGAGTGTTGTTCACTAAGTATTGTACTGGTCTGCTGGAGAACTTGAGCTTTTTAAGAAGGAAAATGCTCAGCTGCCCAGAAAATTTATTGTTCAAACTGGTATACTTGGGTAATATTCCAGCATGTCATTCGGGAATCCATTGGTTTTCTTTCTTCCTGTTCCTCAGTTATCACCAATGTTTAGTATTATAAAGGGACTGTGGGTAACAGGACCAGCACAAGTCTCATCAGAAGATGGTGAAAAGCTCAGCCAACAGACCTGAGCATTTGTGAGTGTTTGTCAGCTACTCTGTTGGTGGAAAAGGCAAATAAAGCTGTTTCTGTTAGCATTTAATCCATGTCACTTTTGTGCTGCTGACCAGAACTTAGTGTTTCTGTGAACAGAGAGTGCCGTTGTCCATGCAGCGTTGTCGAGGTGCGTTGTCTCCCCTCGTGCTGATCTGCTTGGTCCAAAGTTGTTCCCTTTTTACATCAAGTGCTTGTACCCTTAATCCTATTCTCAAACGTTAGCGATGGAAGTTTTATTCTATGATATTTTACAGTTGCAATATTCACTTTTGAGCATCGCGTATTTATTTCCAATACAGCAACAAAAAAAGTACCAGAAGATCAAGAGCTCGGCTATCGTCGTGCAGTCTTTCATCAGAGGCTGGAAGGTGAGTTTCCCGTGCCTGCGGCTGGCTCTGCGTGGGGAGGTACGGAGCAGGGCAGAAATCGCATTCCAGGTGCCCGCAGCCTCCTGCCTTTCATGCCTTCTGTCCATCGAGCCGTGGCTGTGCCGCAGCCCTCGCTAAGCACTCATGTTTGCCGTAGGAGGGGTGAGTTTGGGGCACCTGCAAGCAGCCTGGGCTCCAAATCCCCACAAATGGTGCGAGCGGAAGGCTGGGACCACGCTGAACTACTGGGTTGTCCCTGTTTACTTGTCCTCTGCCCCCGTTTGCCAGAACTTTGCTGCTTCTCTGAGAGGTTTGTACTTCGTGAAGGGATAATCCTGCAGCCATAGTAGAGACTTCAGGAGCGATGCTGTAATGAGAGGTAAAAATGAGGTTAACGGCTCACATGAAAGCAGCCACAGTGCTTAAAAGCGACTGCTGCTGCTGCCCAGCTTCAGAAGAAACGTCCCTGGGCTCCTCTGTTTTCTTCTTCACCTTTCTCCACCCCACTAAACATGGCTTGCTTTATTTAGGGCAGAGAGAAGTGCCTTTAATTCTGGAGTCAGTTCCCCTCCTGTGGGACAGGGAAGGAAGGGGCTGCAGTTCCTCTACAGTCCTCTCCCACCCAGAAAGTTTTAATATTTGCCAGCAATAAGCTAGCGTAATTTGATTTTATTATTTTTCTTGAGCTGTACTTTGTCTTCTTTAACTCATTTAAACTAAAATAATATCATTTCAGCCTAACTATTGACATGCTGTCTTTTCCCATGAGCGTTATATGAAGAAAACTGGGTAAAAGCATCATCTCATCTTGAGTTACGGTTTTCTGTTTGTCATTAGAGAATACGCTCTGGTGCGGTAGCGCTGCTGCGGATAAAAGCCTGGTGTGACAGCAGCCTTAAGTGCGACCCACAGCCAGGCAATTTACTGGTGATTTATTCTTTATTGCCGTCTAAATGGATAAGACACATCCTGCATGGAGGAAAAGCGTTGTTGCCATTTGTAGAGATGGACGTATAGATATCTCGGGGGGACACAGCAAATCTGGGAGCAAACTAAACGTTGCACCAAGATTCCCTGCCCCGCCAGCCCAGGCTCTCGCTCGGGCACAGAATCCTCCAACGTTGGGCTGCTGAGCGGTCGTCAGTTGAGTTGTCCGGGATTTGGAAGCCTTGTGTTTTGGTTTTGCCTAGATCTACAGGTTGCAGTGCCTTAGCTTAATATCCTTAAGAAATTACTTATTTATGTAAAGTAACGTTTTCAATTGTTTACAGGCTCGGAAGATTCTTCGGGAACTGAAGCATCAGAAGCGTTGTAACGAGGCAGCCACGATAATTGCTGCTTATTGGCACGGTACCCGGGTAAGAAAATGGCCACAAATTGCGTGCTTAATTGTCTCTATCTAGAATGAAGGAGGCCCTTCAGGATAAAATGATCTGGGAATATTTTACAGTGGCTTAAACGACTGATTTTTATGTTTCTCTTTGCTGCTAACGTGTTTTAGCTGGTGCAGCCTGGGAAGCTGGGACACGCTTTAATATTTGCTGTTTGTACTGACTGGTTTCTTTCTTTCTTTCTTTCTTGCACCACTGGGAGCTTGCAGTAACCTGTTCTTGCCTAAGCTTTTCTATATCCCATTTTCAAATGCATCACAGGCGCGAAGGGAACTGAGACGACTGAAGGAGGAGGCTAGAAATAAACATGCTATTGCTGTTATTTGGGCTTACTGGCTTGGATATAAGGTACTTCGTGCACCTATCACGTGCTCCCCTTCATTACCCAACAACGTCAACATTTAATCGGTAGTAAACAGTGAGAATTAATGACTAATACAATTGACTTGAAAATAATAGAGCATGATCATTGATTCCTTCCATTTCCATCCGCGCCACACTTAATAAATCCGACAGCATTCCGTGCGTCAGCTTTTCGTCGAGTAGGAAGTTCCTTGCATGGCAGCCTAGTAGTGATTTGCACTAACAAGCCGTTAGACTAGATCAAACACGACTAGACTACAGTATTCTCAAATTAGGAAACGCGTTTAACGACTTGTAAATATGCAAAGCATGGTTTGCGGGGGGCGAGAAGGTTGGGGGTGTTGGTGGGGTTTTTTTCCCTCCCCTAACAAGTGCTTTCAGTGTCACTGTGTTAAAGACCCAATGGAGGTTTTCACCGGGCTGTCTATTCTGCACCCTGGGCTGTCTTCATTTAAAAGTTCAAACTCATGCTTTTAAGTTGTACTAAATTTTATTTTGAATTGGTTTAATTGATTCCCTGGCTGTGATTTGAACCAGTAGGAAAATGTCAGTAAGTACAAGTAAAGCTCGGTTTTATTGCCTGATCTTTTAGCAGAAAATGATGTTCGTTTGCAATTCTAAACTTACAGCCCTAGAAAAATCCCAGGAATTCCAGCATCAGCTGTTTGTTTTCAGAAGCAAAGTCCCACTGAAAGATTCTTTCTAATCCCCAGCCTGCAGTTGTGGGTTATGTGAACATTTGAAATGCTGTTCACTAGAGGTCAAAAATGTATTGGTTCCAATTAATAAGCTCGTAACTGAGCTGAACATCACATTCAGTAAATACATTAAGTTTAAAACATCTTCCAGTTATCGGGGGGTGAGGGGGATGTTGTCAGAACACCTTGCCAACTACAGGGAGAAATGTGCTCCAGTGACATCTGGAGTAGAACGCGGAGTTTGACCTTTGCTGTTTTGATATAAATCTCTTCGATTTCTAATGAAATGGCAGCCCTGGGAATGCAAACAAACACGCACAGAATTTCCCTTGTGCTAGGGAGACTTTGCATCTTCTCAGCGCTAGCTTGAGATTTAGGTAGCTATGCAAGCTGACAGGCACGCCGCTTCCTCTACATTTGTTTAAATGCGATACACTGAGAACTTATTTTATTTTTAGCCAGAGTTCCTTTCACCCCAGCAATTGCTCAGTACTGCAGAAGTGATATTTGCTTTCCTAGGTTTAAGATTTTCTTTAGAATTAAAAAGGACGCATCCAGAAAGCAATGCAATAGTGTTAACTGTGCTAGAGCTTCTCCTTTAAATATTTTGAATTGGATGATTTTTAACATGTTTTAGTAGCTATTTTTATCAATTGGTTCGCAAGAATTTAATGAAAAATTGCCTCCTTACTTCTTAAGTATAAAAAAATCTAGTATATGTATATATCTAAAGATAATAACCTAAATTGAATTAAGATTAGAAAAAGAACTACTGTATCTGATAAAAGATAGAACTTGTTATTGGTGTGATGTTTTATCTTTTCCTAGGGGACTATTTAAAAAAAAATTTCCAAAAGTTATCTTCAGAGATGGCTTGCTTTAACCAAAAAATAAAATAAAAAATAAAGAGCTCTAGCCCTCGAGGACTGAGTTTCCTCCCTTTCCCCAAGGCAGGCAAATACTTGGCTTTGCAGAGCCCTTGTTTTTGCAGCGCTGCCTGGTAGGAGCTCTTGTTCCAGGCAGATGGGCGAAAACATGTTCTTGAGGAGAAGCTGCATCTCACACCGGTTAGCGGTCCTTGGCAGCAGGGGTGTCGGCACCCGCGGGCGCGCGGCTAGCGCTGCGCTGACCGGGCCTGGCACGCCGGGACGCTTCGTTTTCCGTGACTTCTGTCAGCAGATAACTGAAGAACAAATGCACTGGTATCTCCTAAAATGTGAGATGCTATGAAGTCACCCACGTGTGCCTTTGTCTTTTAGAATACTTTGCAAATTGCTTTCCTAAAAAGGGAATCACAGAATCACAGAATGGTCGGGGTTGGCAGGGACCTCTGTGGGTCATCTGGTCCAACCCCCTGCCCAAGCAGGGTCACCCGGAGCAGGCTGCACAGCACCTTGTCCAGGTGGGTCTGGAATATCTCCAGAGAAGGAGACTCCACAACCTCCCTGGGCAGCCTGTTCCAGTGCTCCGTCACCCTCAGAGGGAAGAAGTTCTTCCTCATGTTCAGACGGAACTTCCTGTGCCTCAGTTTGTTCCCGTTGCCCCTTGTCCTGTCGCTGGGCACCACTGAAAAGAGCTTGGCCCCATCCTCCTGACACCCACCCTGCAGATATTTGTAAGTATATAAATGTAAGCAGGCGCCTATCTCTTTGTGCGTGAGGAAGGCACTATGTCTGGGGGGTCTACCCCTTCATCCCCTAAAGACAGACACAACTGACCAGCCTGGAGATTTTTTTTTTTTTAAAAGTACATAAAGATCAAAATGAAAAATAACCTCCAGAGTAAAAGCCTTCGGTACAGCGTTGTTAATTCATCATTACGTACGTAGCTTCAGAGTTGGCTCTGCTCTGCCCAGGCACTTAAGGCCGGAGGAAGATGTGAGTAGACAGTGAGATTTTAGCAAGTCCTGATTTCCATACGCATCGATTCGCTCACGCAGCTGCAGGCAAAGTTCTCCGTTAGAACCAAGCTACCAGATGCTTCCACTGATTGCGAGGTGCGCACGGAAAAGCAGGTGGGAACACTGACAGCGAATAACGGGGCTGACAGAGTTCTTACCCGTACGTGCCACGTAAGCGGCCTTTCTGACCTCCTACATGGCTTCACACCAACTCACACTGACACGTTGGGTTTTGGAGGTTAAACGCTGTGCTTCCCCCTCTCTGTACCGTGATTGTAAGTCGGCTGCTCTGTCTGGGAGAAGCCTTCTCCTGGTCGTTGTGCTGTCTGCGTCGGGCTGTCTCTTCTGATGACTATCTAAACCTTTTAGGCTCGAAGGGAGTTGAAACGCTTGAAGGAGGAGGCTAGGCGTAAGCATGCTGTGGCAGTCATTTGGGCTTACTGGCTTGGACTGAAGGTACTTTCTTAAACGCTCGCGTCTGTCAACGTAAAATAAAGCGTGGCATCCTACTAACACTTCATAAACAAGCAGTTGTGTGGGCTCCCTAGTGGGGATGATCTTGACACAGAATTACGGTCCTTGATTTTGTCATGGACTTTACTGAGAAATTCATAAGCTGAAAATGCCCCATCTGTAGCAATACCTGGGCATTGGCGTTCCCCGGCGTGTCAGGAATTCCAGTCTGCAAGTCAAAGGCAAGGGTCAAATTTAAGGCACCCTGTCATGGTGGTTGACCTAAAAACCTGACCTACGTTGGCAAAGAACCTATCCAGAAAGATCACGAGCGTGCATTTTCTTACTGTGACCTCTGCCCGTTTGAACGGGGAGCAGGGCGAGCTGGAGCCCTGACCCCAGCGTCGAGGGCGCGGTGCAAAGCTGATGGTAAAGCCCCTTTAGGGCACGGCTTTGCACGCAGTCACCGATGGCTGGCGGCAGCCACCAGCCCCGGGAAAAACCGAGACCTGCGAGAGTCTCTGTGTTTTCCGCCCTTTGCTTTCGAGGACTGGTTGGCAGAAGAAAACACGTTTGTAATCTGGAAAAATGTCGTTCTGCTCTGAAAATAGACTGCGAAAATGGCATCTTGAGATGTTTGGAGTCTGTGCCCAGATAATTTACATAATGCAGTTTTCAAACACGGTTTTACAGACGCAGTCCTGAAGAACTGCGGAAATGTGAATCCGTTCGGTTTGGCTGGGTGTGACTTTTGCCCATAGGGATATCGTAGACTACAGAAGTATAAAAGGGAACAACTTACTTGATAATGCAAAATAAAGTCCAGCTCTCCCATTCTTGTCCTTATTCTAACAATGACGAAATGGGGAAAATATTTATGAAACATAATTATAGGTAATATATGTATATTATGTATATAAAAAAAATCCATTACAATACACGCATGGAAACCAGAGCTGGCAATACAAAGGAGCCATTTTAAGAAGTTGTTCTGCAGATCAGAATCACACTTGAGGTCCTACTGCCAAAGTGGGTCTGGTTTTGTGATTTTAAAACAAGAACATGTCCCTCCTGAGACCTCAGAGGCTGTTTTATGTCAAGCGGCGGCATTTAAATGAAAACTGATGCATCCCAAACCCGTAAGGCACGTTGCAGCAGCAGCAATATGTTTCTGCCTGTCCGTGGGGTGGTTTTTTCAATCTATTTTTTAAATAGTGTAAGCAGCGCTGCTGTCTCACCTGATTTTTCTGAGTAAGAACATAGGCTGTAGTGCCAATACACCGCCGTTACCGCAGGCAATTCTCATTTGTCTGATGGCAAAGTATTTTCAGCCACGACTTACGGAGGTGAAGATTTTCGAGTTGATATAAGCGATCAAGACTAAACCATTAATTCTTAAGCCTTTTTTTTGGTTGTGTGTTAAGTAGGTTTTAATAGCATTTGTGGTGCTTTCCAGATTTAGGCTTTTCTGGAGCGGCTTGCATTTCTGAGCGCTCGCTTTGCGGCTTCCCTGCAGCGCCGGTAGGATGCGTGGGTGTATAGGAGTCCCTGTGTTCCAAATTAATTTGCACACCTTGCCGCTCACGAGGGATAATATAAAGCAACATCATTAAAGAGAGTCTCTGAGAGCACGGGGAGATTTGGGATGCTTGTGGCTGCAGTGGCTTTGAGTGTGTTCACTTCCATCCCTGAATAATAAATAAAGGATGTGCACTAATTGTACAGCACTAAACCTTACAGAAAGTCGGTGAACGAGAACTCTAATAATTTTTCTTGTAAAGTGAGGAGGGAAAAAAATGATGTGCTGCATTTGCATAGAATGAAGACAGCTGAATGCTGTCAGCTTTGCTGATCCATCTTCATATGTAATTAAGCAAAGCCCGTTTATCTGTGGGGTTTTTTTAATCCCAGAATGGTGACAGATTCTTGCTTTCAACATGCTGGCTTATTTTAGAACTCACGATGCTCAGTGTGGGGCAGAAGGTGTGCCAGGATAAGCCAAGCAAACTTTTTCGTAGAAGCTGATGTGGGTTTTTTCCCCTCTGTGGGTTTCCCTTTATTTTCTGGCTGCGGCGAACTCAGCAACACGTAGCGAGATTAGCTAAAAAACCACGAAATTTGCTCGAGGGTCAATGATGCAAAGCCACGACGTTTTCCCTGGTTTTTGCTCAAAACTTTGACCAGGTGCGTCGCCGGCCGTGCCAAAGCTGGAGAAAAGCTGGGGGATGTTTCGCCTGACTTGATGGGAGCCTGGGCTTCGCCTAAAACTGCAAACCGGTTGTGCCGGCTCTCAGATTGGGTTTCTGAAGGGGGCGATTTAGATGCTGTGCTAATTAGCACTGATAGAAATACCAAGGGCAAAACAAGGACTGGGAAACTTGCATTCACAAGTATGTGTTAAAGATCAGTATCACCTGCAAAAACGGTTCTCAAGGATCACTTTTCTGATTTTTTTTTTTTAAATAGATTTAAGTAGCAAGTAGCAAGCTTGCTGACGTTAAGCAACCTCTGCTTTTATCAAACACCAAAAACTCATTTTCCTTTTTGAATGAGGACTGTTTGTGTGAGGATTTCTTCTGTGCAGAATTCTGCTCTGGGAAAAAAAAATCCCTTTTTATTATAGTAAAGTCTGCCTGTGAAGAATCTTAAAGGAGAAAAATGAGAAAGAGCTCATGAGTTAACTCTGTAATTAACATCAGCTCAGTGTCACTTCAGACACAGTAGAGTATGTATCACTGATGATACCTCACTTTTCCCAGTCCACCTTTATGAAAATTAATCCATGCTGTGAATTCAGCAATATTTGGATAGCTTGCCTTTTCAGAGAGAAGTATTTGCCATTCTCTGTTAAATTTGTCAATGACTGCACTCCGACCATCCGAGGTTAACTCTCTGACCTCTTGGTCCACGGGCTGGTTCCCGTATTTTAAGTGTATCCAGTCAGTGTTCCTATTTCAGGGACCACTTTGCATGTTTGTATGCTTTTTTTTTTTTTTTGTATTTTCTGCCACAGAGCTTTATAAAAGAGTACCTGTGCAAACAAATTCATTCTTTGTATTCACTTTGCGGCTTTGTTTAACTTTGCAGGTCCGTAGAGAGTACAGGAAATTCTTCAGAGCCAATGCTGGAAGAAAAATTTATGAATTTACCCTTCAGAGGCTTGTATGTATATATCTGTACAAAGCACATGTACATTTTCTGTGGTTTACATTTTTGTTTCCTAGCAAAAGTAGCAGCTGTATTGTGGCCTGGGTAGTCTTGGTAAGGAAACGTCCAAGCTAAGCGTATGGAAAATTGATGGCTTAAATATTCCGATGTTGTAAAGAAAGGATAGTTATAAGTGTTTTGAAGGTGTGGTAGTGCTACTAACTAAGCATTTGCCACGCTTGTATGATGTCTAAATCTGCATTTCTCAATATACCTGGCTTTTTAAATCCACGTTCAGGTTTATGAAAGCTGAGGGTTGCAGTTTGGCAACCGTGCTTTTAATCGCAGAGCGTCTGCTTTTCCGTGCTTATTTCAATAACGCTGGTATTTGAACATTAACAAAACATCTTGCTTCAATTCTATCACAGATGCAAAAATATTTCCTGGAAATGAAGAATAAGATGCCGTCTTTATCACCGATAGATAAAAACTGGCCGGTGAGACCTTACCTTTTCTTGGATTCAACTGACAAGGAGCTAAAGAGGATTTTCCATTTGTGGAGGGTAGGACACGTTCTGCTCCAGTCTGTACAGAACTCCATTGCCTGATTTTCAGTACTGTTGTGGTGTTCGTGAAGAGCCTGCTTTTAGGATGTATTTCTTCCTGCTCCAGGCAGGATATTTAATTTCTTTGGAAGAAGCCTGTCTTTTGCTCCTTGCCTTTGGCCTGCAAGGGCTATAACTATCCTGCCTGCTCGCTTCTGGGGCTAGGGAGGGAGGATTGCTTCCTGCCATCAGCTCTTCACTTCATAGTAAAGCAGTGCGCCTGCTGCCTGCTAATTGGTAGCTTACAGTACTTGTGCCCACGGCCAGGACTGGGACTAGCTCTCAGACCAACACTGGAAGTATGGGGTGGAATGTTTTACTTAGGAACTGTGGTTAGCTGGAATTTGGTTTGGATCTTTGGACGGAGAGAACGGCGAGAATCTGGGTAAGGGCTGATGAGACGTTTCCCTGATCTTGTGGGCTACGGTTTCTGTGAATTGTCAAGGAACAGTTTTTCTTTCTGCAAAATTCATCCCCTCAGCTATGTTTTGTTCTTCCTGTCTGTTTACATCAACTTCCACGATCGTGGAACTACATATGTTTCTGTGGACCTTCTCGGCACAGTCTTCCAGTGACTGGTGTCCGATAGATTACGCTCATGTTCAAATGCAGCGTGCTGAAATGATGCGTTTTAGAGACTGGTTTTGGTGTAATTCAGAAATACCTAGAATGGCTGAGGAGAAAAACACCTCTGCTGCCTGTTAGGGTGCTGGAGTGGCACGCGGGATGGAGCTGAGTCACTTCTGAGGCACACAAGGAATGTGCGTCTTGAGCAACGGGCAAACATGAGCCTGTGGGGCTGCCGCTCCAAATCAGATCTGGAAGGATAACGCTGTGCTTTGTTTAATATATCGTGTTTTGTAGTGTAAAAAGTACAGAGACCAGTTCACAGATCAGCAGAAGCTTATATACGAAGAAAAGCTGGAAGCAAGCGAACTTTTCAAGGACAAGAAGGCTTTATATCCAGCCAGGTAATGACTTATTCTGCTGCTTTCAGTGTACAATAAATTCAATATCCTTACATAAATTTAGGAAACTAAGCACGGTTTTGCTTTTCATCTTAAGCAGGGAAGTGCATTTTCCTTGTTTGACAATGCCCCTCCATCATTTTACTTTACAACTGGCCTCAGTTTTTTTCTGACTTGGATGTTGGTGCAGCCCACAGATCCTGCGACGCTGAGCGCTTCTGGGGTGCATTAAGCAGAGTGTGGCCAGCAGGGCGAGGGAGGCTCCTTCCCCTCTGCTCTGCCCTGGTGAGGCCTCATCTGGAGTACTGTGTCCAGTTCTGGGCTCCCCAGTTCAAGAAAGATGAGGAGCTACTGGAGAGAGTCCAGCGGAGGGCTACAAGGATGATGAGGGGACTGGAGCA